CTATATGAACTATAATGATTTGAAAATGGCTCCTGGTGTTATGACTGGAGCTCTCAAATAGGCTTCTGGAAGGATGGGTAAAATCTCAGACCAATTACCTTTGCAGAATAAGGCCTGGATTGTGTCTGAATTACCATGTCATATTAGACATGCCCTTCTGGTGAACAGACCCATTACTCTGGGATGGATACCAAACAAAACCCACGTGCATAAGCTGCCTGAGGGTGAGAATTACAGACACAGTTAATTGCCTTCTCACTCTCTAGGACCCCTACCCTCTTCCTTAAGGCACCAATCCATGAGGTGAAATAGCTACATAATAGAGGATTCCACATAACTCATTTAGAGCAGCTATGCCCTTCCTTCCTCAATAGCTTATTTGGATCAGTTTCTCTCTCTGATGAGAAGCCAGTTATGAGAGAAGGTAACAGGATTGTGGCTAGCTTCCATCCATCAGCATGGTGTGAGTGAAATTATAAAAGAAATATTTCTCTACTTAAGAGATTCATGTTTGCAAGAAGGTTAAAAGCACTCATTTACAAAGAATGCTGTTCAGTTTTCTTTAGTTGTGGCCAACTCTTCATGACCCAATTTGGGGTTTTCTTGGCTAAGATACTAGAGTGGTTTGCCATTTCCTTCTCTAGCTCATTTTACAGAAGAGGAAACTGAGGCAAACAGTGATTTGCCCAGAGTCATACAGCTAGTAAGTGTCTGGGGCTGGATTTGAACTCAGGAAGATGAACCTTCTTGACTCCAGGCTCAGGTTTCTAATCACCGTACCACCTAGCTGCCCTTACCAAGGATTGCTTTTCAGTATACTGAGATTGGCTCTGCTTAGGCTTGTACTTTGATGTGCTAATTATGAATAACTTTTATTTATTAATTAAAGCAAGATCATTCTTCTGGTTCATAGTCACATATGACAACCTCTTGGGGGAAGGTATTACTCTTTATTTATGGGGACTGGAATGTCTGACCCTAAAGGAGTCAGTTTCCTTTTCCTTAAAATGCCCAAATTAATTGTTGCTTCTACCTATTGCTGAGAAACAGTAAAATTGCTCACATCACCTGTGTCCAACATTCTCTTTCCCTAGATCTTCTTTCCTACCTTTCTCTGAACATTTGTGCTAATGGCTCCTCCAGTTATTCTCTCTACCCCATTTGTATATCCAGGCTTCTGTCAGGAGGGGTAAACCATAAGTTCTCTACCTTCTTCTCCTTATTTCTTTTTAGCCTCATCTACCAGAAGAGTCTTTGTATACTAGGAGAAAGAAGGCACAATGATTCATACTATAGTTCCATCGCCAGTTGTTCTGCTGGGTATCACTCTGCAGGGCTAGCACTTACCCCAGTTCTCTTCTATCAGATGCTAGCACTAAATTTTTAACTTGGTGTTTTTCTAAGAAGGTAATGGTTGCTGCTAATTCTTCAATATCAAATAGATAAATAGAGCATTTATTAAGTGCTTACTGTGCCAAGTACTAAGTGAGGGGATTACAAATACAAGCAAAACCAAAGATAGTTCCTATCCTCAAGGAGCTTACATTGGAATGGGGAGAAGACAACACATAAAAAGGGAGTTGAAAAAGGGACAAGGTAGAGAGGAGCTGAGAGAGAAGTGAGCTTGGGCATTTCTCGAAGGATGTTTCATGGTTAGAATTCACCAAGTGGGGAAGGGAGTAGAGGCATCTTCCAAGATGAGAAGGAAGTAGGGAAGGAGCACCCATTATGTAACCATATTCAAACTACTATGTATACACCCAAAATAAATACCAACCATGAATTTACATAAATTCCATAGGAGTGACAACAATATTACCTATAAATATAGGATGATTCTTAAGACAAATGCTTATTGGGAAGTTTAAAGAAATTTATGATTTTATTGATTTGGGTGAAAGTCTTTGAAAATTATAGTTAAGCTAGCTGTGTTGAGATACTTCTAACTGTACCAATCTAGCTCAAATGATCATAATGTAGATTAACTAATCTCACCTCCTTATTTAGAGACAGAAGAAGAAATTAAAGTCCAGGCAAGTCATATGACTTCCCTGAGGCTACAAGTGAAAGATGTAGGGTTCTGACCCTAAATCTACTGCTCCTTAAAAACTAACAAACAAACAAAAAAAACCATACTGCCTAGCCGCATATAAGTAAATCTTTCTCTATTTCTGATTTCATCTCTACCCATACAACTCATTAATTTCCTATTTTATAGGAAATTCCTATATTTATATCTTCTTTTCCACCCAAGCATTTTTCTTTTCTGGCCTTTCGCCTCCCAATAGACACTCCATAAATGTGGATATTTCCCACCAAAACTTGTAATAGTTGTCAGCTATGACACATCGATTGAGTAAGAGCAATTCATGGCCAAGGATTTGCCTAATAGCTCAAAAGGGTGGCTTATGAGCCTATATTTGAGTGAAACATAGTACCCCTAGCTATCCTTTAATCTTGTGTAGCTGACTTTCATTTACCGACCCATTAGTTCACACTTGGAAACTTAATTAACCTAAATCCTTCTTTGACCTTTGTTTGTGGCTCTGTGATGTTACAGAGTTCTAACCTGGTGGGAAAAAAATCTTTCTTATCCCTTAGGAGGCTAGTTAATACCCGGCAGTTTTGACACATGGCTACATGCAAGGTCAAATCTTGGGCCTCTGTCCCACTGGTTCTGTTAACAGGCCCACTGCTTATTCACCTGAGACCAAACCTGACATGGAGGGCAACCAAGGTTGTCACCTGGTGGGCTCAGTTGGTATAAGATAACTGAAGCTTATTCTCTTCTACATTGTTCTGTGCATGTCAACAATTCAATTCAACAAACATATACTGAGGGTCTACTCTACTTAAGACCCTTTTAGATGCTAGAAATGCTTTGGTGGATCTGTGAACTGAAGGATGTGATCATTCTTTTCATTGGTATTGATCACACCTCCTCTTTACCTTCTCCTTCTGTGCAGACCCTTGTCTCTATTCTCCTTTGAGGTCCCTAGAGGGATTCTACATGCCTTGCTGGATGATTTCCCTTAGGTCTCCTTAGTTTGCATGTATCCTGATGGAGAGATGGAACCACATTTTGTATTTCTTTGCATTACAAACATTAGTAGAGCAGTGCCTTGTATTAAAAAAGTGCTTTTTTAATTTGGCATCTAGAATTCTTTACATTGTAGCTGTAGCCTAGCTCTCTTGACCTTTTCATGCTATTTCTCCTCATTTACTATGTATTCTAGCCAAAATGGCCTGGTTGACAATCTTCCACTATACACAACATTCTGGCTTCCACCACCAAGTTGTGGGTTTTTTTTTTCACCACCAAGGTTTTGTACAGGTTATCTCCCATGTCTGGAATGCTGTTCCTCCTTAACTCCATTTCTTAGAATCTGTATGTAGAAATTCCAGGTTATCATAGCTCCTGACTCTGGCTAATATATCTTTGCACTCCTCCATATCTGTCAAACTCATTTCAAAACACTGTTTCAACTTCAGTGTAGCTTCTACCACTAGGCTTTTCTTAACTTCCCCTTTCCCTTATTAATTCTGTCTCCCCTCCACTTCCAGCAAGTTGTTTGTGTTTATTTGCTATAGATTTTCTATTTACTTATATGCATATATCTTGAACACTTTCAATACAGTTTAAGCACCTTGAGGGCAAAAGTTATTTCTTTTTGTCTTTGGATCTCTGGTACCTAGCACATAGTAACACTTAGTAATTACTTGTTGAATGGAATGAATTAAAAAGTGTTTGATAAATATTTTCTAACAATCATAGAATCAAAGTTTTATCAATGGAAAAACCCTTAGAGATCATCTAATCTAGCCATCTCATTTTTATAGATGAGGAGATTAAGGTCCAGAGATGTTAAGTGTCCAAAGTCACACGTATAATAAATTGGACAGATGGAATTCAACTTCCAATCCAATACTCTTTCCACTGTACCACCCTGCCTCCAGATATGTGATTGTTAAGATTAGTAACTGTTGGAAGCAGACCATGTCTAATTTAACTTTTTGTAGAACATTTAGCATATAACAGAGAGTGATGACTGTAACCCCAAGCTTTGATTTTACTTAATATATTGAAAGTTGTCATTTATTAAAACATCCTGAATGAGAGAGAGAATACCCCAATAATAAGAGAATTAGATTCTATTATAAAGTATACCCAACCTATACACAAAAAGAATTCCTACATTTAATTTGAACTTCACAAATTGGGAATTTATTATGTTCACACAGCAAAAGAACTAATGTTTACCTTAGTCCCAGCTTTATAAACAGAATTTTCCACAGCCCATTAACAGTGTAAAGAAGATTGTTAGAGCAATGTTTGCCCAAGAAAACTAACTCTCTAGAAGGTTGAAAGGGCCTATTTACATACAAATAATATGTTTGCAAAATAAATCACAAGTCAGGATTACTCAGGCAGCTAGATGGTACAGTGGATAGAGCACTAGGCTTGGAATCAGAAAGACTCATCTTTATGAATTCAAATCCAGCCTCAGATACTTACTAGCTGTGTAACCCTGGGCAAGTCACTTAACCCTGTTTGCCTCAATTCCTCATTTGTAAAATGAGTGGGAGAAGGAAATAGCAAGCCACTCCAGTATCTTTGCCAAGAAAACCACAAATGGGGTCACGAAGAATCAGACACGACTCAACAACAACAGGATTACTCAGGCTGATTCTTGAATATGTTAATTTAAAAAATCATTATCTGTTAATTAAAGTTGGGCCTCCTCCACTAAGCAATAATAAATCATAACATTTTAGTTGCTGTATATATTCATTCTCTTCTTCTATAAAAAGAAGGCTTTGGAATAGTTTTCCCAGGTGCATGCCAATTCAAAATCTTGTTATCTTGCTACTTGAAAGTAATAGCATTATATTTGTTTTAAAGCATTCTTTATTTCAGACTAACCTTCCTCCCAATAACTCTGGAGCATTTCCTAGAAGCTGGAAGTGCATTCTAAAGTATCTTAATTGTATATCCACAGGCAAAGGAGACAGTGTGGCATCATTTAAGTCTGAAGGAAGCGTGTGTTACAAAGAACAGAACTCTAGACCCCACAGGTAGGATTCAAGGATAAAAAGATTTTTGTTTAACTGAATCGTTCTTGACCACATGAAAGATGAATTTATAGATTATGATTTAGGGAGGCTGTATCCTTTGATTTATAGTTATTTGGCTTCATGCCCCCATTGAATGCATGTAGGGAAAACTTCTGTAAAAAAAAACCATAACAAATTGGCAATTGCTCCATCATCTTACTTCATCTTGCTCTGTTTAAAGTTCATATTTACTAAGAGGAAAAAGAGTGTGTATGCATGAATACATGTGTGTGTGTGTGTATGTGGTTGAGATGTATAATATCATATTTGATGGAAGGCAGAACTGACCTTGTAGTCAGGAAGACCTGGGCTCAAGCCTTGTCTCTGACTCTCTAAGACTATAAGCTATAGATGAGTTATTGAAGATCTGGCATCAATGGAGGGAGTTTCCACATTGGGAGGCCCTAGTTCTCTATACCTATGGAACTCACAGAACTATTTATAAATGTGGTTATCCGTGTAATGTATGTATGTATGTATGTACATATATGTATGTGTGTGTGTGTGTGTGTTTTAATATTTATATATCCATGCGTATATACAGGGGAGAAGGGAAAGAGAGAAGTAGGGAAAGGGGAATGGCACCTATTATATCATCAAATTATACTAATCTCTTGAATCTTCTATGAAAATAACGGTTCTTTGTATTGGCTTCTAGAGAGATCTGCTCAGAAGAACCAAGCCTGCTCAGACAAAGAAAAGATTCATAAACTCAACAAGGAGAATGCTGAAAAGGCTTGTACCTCCCTCATTCAAAAAAGTTCTCCCACAGGAAGATTTCAAAGCAAGGTAGAAGATTTTACTTCTAGAGAAGAGTGTAGAGAGGATACTATTGAAAAAGAAGCATCAAAGATGGGGAGACAAGAAGAGGTAACCATTAGGGGAGATAATCAAGACATTGTGGAGAAACTCAAAGCTTTGGGAGATGTGAAGGGATCTCAAGACAGTCTGGTCTGCAAAAGAGAGAAGAATGTACTTCATGCTAAAGGAGATACCAATGAACAAGAAACTTGGAAGGAAGGATCAACATCTGCAATAAATGAAACAGTAGAAAGGTATAAGAGTTTGCTTCCAACACAACAGGTTGATAAAACTGATGGAAAGAAATTCTGTGCAAGGTCAGGTTTGAATCAGTAGTGTCAAAGTCAAATACAAACAGAGGCCACTAAACAGTACATTAAGATCTCTGAGGGGCAGCTAGATGGTGCAGTGGATAGAGCACTGGCCCTGAAGTCAGGAGGACCTGAGTTCAAATCCGGCCTCAGACCAAACACTTGACACTTACTGGCTGTGTGACTCTGGGCAAGTCACTTAACCCTAATTGCCTTAAAAAAAAAAAAGATCTCTGCTGGCCTCATATTGACTGAAGCATAGATTAACATTATATATGTTCTGTTACATTTTAATTTACTTTGTTAAATATTTCCTAATTACATTTTAATCTGGTTCAGTCACTACATGGCAGTGTTGTGGGCTGTGTGTTTCACACCTCTAGTTTAAAGCACAGATTGTCTTCCTAGTCTGTAATAACCCAATGTGCTCATTGGGGGCCATCTCGAGTTGTCCTGATCTATATCTGGCCACTGGACCCAGATGGCTCTGGAGGAGAAAGTGAGGCTGGTGACTTTGCACAGCCCTCCCTCACTTAAATCCAATTCACTTGCAAGTCATGGCAGCACCTTCCTGATGTCATGGTCCTCTTTGAGAATGAAGGACAAACAACTTGTGCTCATTACAATTTCGCACATTAAATGAATAGCAGCACCAATGAAGTCTTACATGCCATTTTATAATGTCTGTAGTTTATAAAGTGTTTGTCTATACTATCTAATTGAGTCCTCATACTGTCTCTGAGAGCTAGGCAACTCTGGTATTGGGACATTGAGGCCCAGAGAAGCAGTCATTATTCAGTGAGAAATGCATCAATCATTTAAAGTCAGAAGACCAGGCTTCAAATTTTGACTTTTTCACACTTTGTGTTGTCTTAGGTAAGTCACATAACTTAGCTTCCTCATATGAAATGAGGAAATTGGACTAAATGTTCCTTAAGATTCCTACCAGCCCCAAATCCTATGGAAAGTTTTGCACAGGTTCACCCAGTTGGTGAGTGATAGAGCCAGGGCTAAAACCCAAGTTATCCTGAGTTCCATGCTATTACTTTTTTTTCACTAAAGATAGTAATTATCAAAGTCTAAGAGATGACATTCATGGCCTCAGTAATTGGGAACTGATTGTGCGTCTCTTGTGGGTTATCCATCTTCTTTTGCTACTTTTTCTTTTTCTTATTTGCTTGCCTTTCTTTATTTCACTGCCTATTAATCCCTCTTCCCCACTTGGTAATCATCATCATCATCATCATCATCATCATCATCATCATCATCATCACCATCATCATAGCTAACATTGCGCAGCTTTTTACAAATATGATCTCATTTTATCCTTACAAAAATCCTGGAAGGTAGGTGCTATTATTATCCCTATTTTATAGTTGAGGAAAATAAGGCAGACAGAGGTTAAGAGACTTGCCTGGGTTCACACAGTTAATAGAGCATACAAAGCCAGATTTGGACTTAGGTATTACTGATTTCAGGCTCAGTGCTCTCTCCACAGTTCTACAGAAACTGATGAAACTGATATTGGCCAGTTTTTCAGAGAAGTAAAGTTTTTGTTTTAAGTTTTGTTTAATGACTGTAGGGCAAATCTAGCCTGTAATCCAAAATAAAATTAATAGATTAGGTGAAGCTATAGCTTGATAATCTGTATCTAAAGAATTTCTGTCACTCTGAGTCTCATAATGGGCATTATTTCAAAACTTTATTATGACTGTGTGAAAAGTAACTTATTAAATTACTGTCTTTAATATTAAGCTTTAATATTTAATTTTAATAATATATAACTATATATAATGTAAGTATATATTATATAATTCAATATTTATTATTTTATATTAATTATAATTATATAATATCAATAAATTTTAATTAACTTGATATTAATATTGAGAATCTAATGAAAATCAATTGATCAAAGTGAATATGAATAAAACAATGCCTCCAGGCAATGTTGATCATTAGAGGCAAAAAAACTAAGACATGAGTCCTGGTTTTATCATTCCTGTGTGATCTTTGTCAGAGTAATTCACCTTTCTTAACCTATTCATATCCTGTTCATCAAGAACAGTTCATGAAAGACCAACTCAATTTCCTTTTTCTAGAAAGGGAATGTTATAGATATAGTTTATCTAAGTTTTAATAAAGTTTTTATAAGTAAATGTTTTGATAAACAAAACCTTTTGTGTAAAATGTAGAAAGATATTTTCTAGATCTGTGGTGTCAAACTCAAATAGAAATGGGGCCACATGCACTATTTTTAGTACGTGAGCATCCCTGCAGGCCACATAATTGACTTAGAAAACCACATATTAGCATTATCTATATTCTACTGCATTTTCATTTTGACAAATATTTCCCAATTACAGTTTACTCTAGTTTGAGATTATTGCAGGTGCCCCAGTGTTTGACATCTCTGGTCTAGATGATAGTAAAATAAGTGGATTTAGAATGAGTTGGCTTTTGGATCTTGGAATCCCTGGTTTCCTTATAACATGAAGCCTTTCCTGGTCTTTCCTCTCCCCCACACCAACTTCCCTTCATCCCTGCAAGGGTAACGTGTGTCTGCTTTGTATGTATTTTGCGTACACACACACACACACACACAAACACACAGACACTACTTTTTGTTGTTGTTGGGTCATTTTAGTCATGCCTGACCCTTTGTGACCCCACATGAGGTTTTCTTGGCAAAGATACTGGAGTGATTTGCCATTTCCTCCTTCAGGTCATTTGACAGATGAGGAAACTGAGGCCAACAGGGTTAAGTGACTTGCCCAGGGTCACAGAGCTAGTTAGTGTCTGAGGCCAGACTGGAACTCAGAAAGCAGAGTCTTCCTCCACTCTATTCACTGGGCCACCTAGCTGTTGAGATCTATATCTATATCTGTATCTGTAGATATACAAAAACAAAATAGCCCCTACCTTTAACAAACTTACATTGGAGGAAAATAGTGTGTCTCTGTATTTGTTTGGTCATACATATATAACATATATGTAGGAGATACCTATATGTGTCTCCATTATATATATATTATGTATGTATAGATATCTGCTATATGTATTTGTATATGTGTATGTTTGGCATATATATGTGTATATCTATGATCTATCTGCACATATAGCTGTTATGAGGAAAGTGTCTGAGAGTTAATTCTGTAAGAATACCATTTGTCACAAAAGATAAAAACAGATTATTTTCATGTTTTAGCATTCTCTTTCTGAGAAATATCCATTTCTAGAATGTTTTTTATCTTTATTTTCTGAATTAAGAGCTTCACCAATATTATATTTTTAGATTTAATGACAATGAAAAGGATAATTCTTCAGCAAGAACCCAAGGAGGCCCATCCACAAGTCCCCATTCCCAGAATGCTGAGCTAGCTGCTCTGGCTGACCACAGCAGTAAGCGGAGGGTGAATGATGGAAGCCTACTCATCGATGGCAAGAAGAAGAGCAGAGTTGATGCAGAAGGCACAGCTGACAAATGCAAAGCTAAGGAGCCCACCAAGATAAAGCAGTCCCTGGGCAGCCTACTGGGGAAGCTTCAGGAGTCACCCAGGATCAAAAATGGCCCTCTAGCAAAGCTTACTGCCAAAGGGAAAGAGCTGGAGATACCATTTGGTAGGAAATAGTCTCTTTTCCAGTATTAACTCTTTTCAACAATCATTTTTTAAAAAATTGTAGTTAGCCTAATAGTCTGAAAAGACAGTAATGAAATATTCTTAAAACCTCTATTTTTAAAAATATGTAGAGATAGATGGAACCCAATCACATAGTTCTCTGATAATCTTTTTCAATCACATTCATAATATTTGAAGTGTCAAAATCAAATGTGGACAGCATAACCAGAACAATAACTAGAAATCCTGGTACCTGGAGAAAATTCTATTGAGAATGGAAGTGTGCTTTAAAGTGTAGATGGGCCCTTGAAGAGACAGTTCAACCATGGATGGGGGGATAGTCATGCCAGGAGAGGGACAGCCCATTCCCTTCACCTCTTTCCCTGTCATCTACTTGTCTGCTCCCCTGCCTTCTCTAGGGGTTACCTTTCTCCTCTAATCCGTTTGGGGATGTTTTGAGGCACAGTGATGTCAATGATGTCTATAATCCCCTTCTTCTCCCCATCCCTTCCCCTGCTTCTGGGAAAAGCTCCAGATGTTTCCCATAGTTATGGCTTTGAATCTACTGCAAATGAGTTTGATTCTTCCCTTTTTAGATTATTGGGATTTTCCTATATCAATGAACTAAATCGGAAGATCTGGGAGGTGAAGAACTGAGACCTCTGCTTTATTTGCATTGGCCCATAGTACATACACAGTCAATGCTTAATTAAATGAATGCTTATTGAACAGATGAGTGAGTGAAGTAAGGTGTGAGTTAATGAAGGTGAAGGAATGAGTGGAATGAATTAATGGATACATGAGTAATGAATGAATAATGAATTACCAGCTTTGAAAAGAGATAGAAATAGAAAAGAAAATGGCTGCTAAGGAATTATTGTTACTGATGATGCTGCTTGGTTGAATTTAGGCTGTAGCAGGTTCCTTTCCCACTAGAGACTAAGGTTAGGGACTATGAAAACTTAAGTAGTTTTTAGAATTAAAATTTATCCAATTTTACAGGGTGTTTCATTTCCAGTAAGAGGAAAATCAGTTTTGTGCCTTGGACTTTATTTAAAGTCTAAAATATTTTGGAAAGTGATCTATAAAAATTTTAAAGTATTAATAGCATTAAGAAAACCCTACATTTTTTTTCTTTCTCTGAACTCTGATTAAAATAACTTACAGTTTCAATAATTCTTTTGATGATATTCCAAATCATTTCTTATCCTTTGTTCAAAATAGTCTAGAATTTGGGAGGGGTATTCAATAGAACAATATTCGGACTGGAAATTCTTAAACTCTATTTGATGTTTGTAAGCCTAGGAGTCCTAAAGATAGTGCAGACAATAAGTGGCTCATTCATCCTGAGACGCTTTCTTTTAAAACATCAGCATCAGCTTTCTATTCTTGTAATGCATGATGTTAACAATTAAAGTAAACATGAAATGTTTATCTAAAGTTTTAATTCACTAGGAATAAAACATGGCCATTTGATTGTGAAATGAGGAAACTTTTAGCACAGAGCATATTAATAGGTGGTACTGGAAGAACTGGAAATAGAAGAGATGATTCTCTCTCTTTTTTTTCTTCCTCTTATAGACGATGTCCTGCTCCCCCTGCCCCATTTGATCACAGGATTGTCACAACCAGACAGACAGCCGTGAATAGTCTCTATACTGTGAACAGGAGGGAAATCTTAGGAGGGTAAGCAATACTTGATTACAAGAATTTACTCAGCAGAGGAGTGTTGATGAAGAAAAATCTTGAAATCTTCCTAAATGGATGCCAGCCTAGAACTGGTAACCATATATGTTACATAATTAAACACTCTGAAAGGATTCTTAATCACGCTCAAGCTCAAACAGATGGGTCGGAGGGTGGCAGTGGCTAAATGCAGCATTTATTGGGTTGATTCATCTCTGATGCTGTTATCTCTGAAAGGCATAGAGACCAAACCAATTTCAAGCCTAGTTAGAAACCGTCCCGTTCTTTGGCTTATAAACTGAGAAACAATATTTAGAGTTGGGAATTCATTGGGTTACAGACGGTGTCTTATTTTGCAAAGTTAAAGATGTGATCAAAGGGACCTCTCCTTATGTAACTTTGGAAATCTAAATCTTTTGCATTTTAAGCTCAAGCCCACATGCAAGAGTGATTATATTAGAATGCTAGCAGAGCTATCCCTATTAAATCCAGATACGTTCAGTATGATTGGATTTATCTAGAAGATTAAAACTGGATGGAATCTGGTACAGGATGTGTACTGTTGGCCTGCCCATATGGCCTCAGAAGCAAAACCACCAGGATAACAGTGCACTCATTTGATTTGTTCATTAAGAGCACATGGAAACATCTAAATGGGAAACTATTGCCATGTTCCAGGTTGACCACTAGTGCTTAGAACTGTATGATCACATTGTTTCTTATGTTCTATTTTTATTTTCCAGAGGACGGTTTGGCCAAGTACACAAATGTGAAGAAAAAGCCACAGGTCTGAAATTAGCAGCCAAAATCATTAAGACCAGAGGGGTAAAGGAAAAAGTAGGTACTGAGTAATGTGGACTTTCCCCCTCCTCATTCTTGCTACATTTAAAACAGCCCTAAGAGCCCTTGCTTCCTTCCTTCCAGGATGAAGTGATGAATGAAATCAGTGTCATGAACCAGCTGGACCACGTGAATCTCATCCAACTCTACGATGCCTTTGAGTCCAAGAATGACATTGTCCTGGTGATGGAATAGTATGTGTTTTCTTTTCCTTGTTGATTTTCCCTATCTTTCTTCCTTTTCCATTTCCCCTTCAAAGCTTAGATTGCCACAATGATAATATTTTCCACCATATTTTACAATTACTGCTGTAGTTCAGTAACCCTTTCAAGGCTGCAGGATTTGCAGGCTGTTGATACCGACTTTTAAGAAAACCGTAAAATCTTATAAATAGTTGCTTACTTTTGCAAAGCATTTGAAGGTTTAAAAAGTGCTTTTTTCATAGTAGCCTTGTGAAATAGGTAGTATTCCTCTCCCCCACCCATTTCATTTGATGTGAAGAAACTGAGGCTTTGAAAGGTACGTAGTGATTTCTTCAGGGTCACACAGCTAGGAGGTATTTGAATTCATATCCCCCAGCTCTCAAGTCCAGCACTCTTTCCACTACTCTGGAGAAATTGTTCATCAATGTTTCCATGCATGATAAATAGTATGGGTACAGCTCCTGGCACATAGTAGGTGCTTAATAAATGCTTATTGACTGACTGTGATTGCTTCAAAGGTCTGTATGCTCTATATTTTGTAGAATACTTATGGGATCTTATATTTATGGCATCATAGAGTCAAGAATTGAAAGGACATAAGGGCTCACCTGGCTTTCTTAATTTATAGATGAGTATGCTGAAGACCAGAGGATTATGTGATTTGCCCAAGGATACTGAGGAAGTAGCAAAGATGAATTACAGCTGAGGTCCAGTAATTCCAAGCCCAGTGCTTTTTCCATTTCCGTTTAGTACTCCAAGGTTCTGCCGCTTCATTAGTCTACATACCCAATCCACTGATGGAAATCATAACTCTTACATACCTTGATAGGCCTTATCCTTGAGTGTTGCTGTCTGGTCATTTCAGTCATGTTCAATTCTTTGTGACCCCATTTGGGACTTTCTTAACAAAGATACTGGAATGGTTTTTGTCATTTCCTTGTCCAGCTCATTTTATAGGTGAGGAAACTGAGGCAAACAGGATTAAGTGACTTGCCCAGGGTGACACAGCTAGAGTCTGAGGCCAGATTTGAACTCAGGAAGATGAGTCTTCCTGACTCCAGGCCCAGCACTCTATACACTGCACCACCTAGCTGCCCATCCTTGAGTTACTGAGGCCAAAAAAAGGTTATTACTTTGTGGTGATGAGCCTTTCTGAAATTACCTTGGCTGGTCCTCAAACAGTTGACACACTATCTCTTGCCAAGGTCATAATCAAAGGTTCTCTATCTTTATACATCCTGGCATAGCCTTTGAGGACCTAAGTTCACCTTGGCAGAGGCCAGGCATGTTGTAGTATCACATGTTCAAGATTGGAATCAGATGAAACACTCATCCATCTAATAGTTACCAAAAGGAGGCTTACTTAGTCATAGCAGAGAAATGATATTTGGCAAGGATACAGAATTGACTCAGCTAAACCCAGCTTCCCTGTCACTGTTTCCCATGCTGGTCTACTGGTCAGAAGCCTCAAAGGTTAGTCAGTCAGTCAGTCAGTCAGTCAGTCAGTCCAATAGCATTCATTAAGCACCTACTATGTACCTTTCTTCATATCCCCAGTCCTTAGCACAGTGCCTGGCCTCTAGTAAACTTTTAGTTAAATGCTTGTTAACTGACACCTGAGTGGGACTTTAGCAGATCCACTGTCTCAGGTCAAACTATAATATGTATCTGAACAACATTGCATATTTTTGAGCCAGATAAGTTTATCTGTCAGTCATCGTGAATTTGACCATTGATAGCAAACTCATCAAATTTCAGAGCTCAATATTTAAAAAAAATTGAAATTAAAAGGCTTTTTCTGTACGAAAAGGACTACACATCCAGCATTTATTAAATAAATCAAAATTATTTTATAAAACAGGAATAATCAAGGTTAAACATTATGAGAACAGTCCTAAATAGTAACAATGAACTCTGTGAAATATTTGTTCCTGGACTGCTGCTTATGAAAATAATCATCCTTAACTATCCCCAACTATGTGTATGACACTCTTCTAGGTACTGGAGACACAAAAAGGGAAAAAAATGTCACAGTCCCTACCCTCAAGAAACTTCTAGTCTTATAGGCAGTTTACATTTCAATGCTACTCAGGGATATACTAATAATAGCTAGCATTTACATAGCACTTTAAGAATTGCAGAACACTTTGCAAATATTATTTCATTTGATCCTCACAACAACCTTGGGATGTAGGTGCTATTATTACCCCCATTTTACCACAGCTGATGAAACGGAGGCACAAAAAGGTTGAATGACATACTCAGAATGGCACAGTAGATGTCCCACTCCAGATCTGAACTCAGAACTTCCCTACTCCTAGTCCACTTCTACCCACCGTACCACCTTGTTGCTTTTCAGTTCTATAGCTCTAACATACTTGCAGCAGTCCTCTATCAATTTCCACCTGCTACTTAGCCTTTCCTCAGGCTTTCTCCTGGCTGCTGTGCTCGGATTCATTATTTACTTAGAGTATAATAAATTTGGACTCAGTTAAGTTTTGTATTAATTGCATAAAAAGTTCTGCAGGTCTTAGCATTCATGAAATTAATGTTGTAAGTGTGCGAAACCAGGACTTCCATGTGGCCTCCTTTTTAAAGAGCCAAGCTGCTAAAGGAGCAAAGACAGAAGCATACCTATGAAAGCACCAGCCCTGGAGTCAGGTGGATATGAGTTTAGATCCTGCCTCAGACACTTGCTAGCCATGTGACCCTGGGCAAATCACTTAACCCCAATTATCTCCAAAACAAACAAACAAACAAAACAGAAAACAAACAAGAAAAAGTGTTACAAGGGCGTTAATAAAATATAGCCAAGGACTTTGAGAAGGAAATACTATGTTCTTTTGTTTGTTTTGCCTGGAACTGAGATTTCTTAAGGGAATCCTATTTCCCAGTAAAGATCAGCACTAGTCCTAGATAGTTGCCTAGGGCCACTGAAAGGTTAGACAATAGCCAGGCTCTGGCAAAGGCCTGATTGGAACCCAAGTTTGCCTGACTAAAGCTAGTTCTCTCTCCACCATAACATGCCCTCTCTATCTTGGTAATTACAGAGTATAAATTACTGCTCAGTGCTCTCTATGAGGCACTCAATGAATGCTTAAAAAAAACGCTCTATAAATTTTTAATGCCGCTTTTCTCTATAGTGTGGATGGAGGTGAACTGTTTGATCGAATTATTGACGAAAACTGCAATTTGACTGAGTTGGATACCATTCTCTTCATCAAGCAGATCTGTGAGGGGATAAAACACATGCATCAAATGTACATCCTTCACTTAGATCTGAAGGTAGAGTATGTGCTTTGTATCATGTAAAATGTTAACCTTTGCCATCTGGCTCTGAACATATGTTTGTGTCCCCTGGGACATCATGCCTTGCCATTTACATCACTTATATCATGGTTAACTTAGGAGATAAGAACCCTTTCCTCAAACTTTTTTCCCCCCATTTGTGCTGTACTAATGTTTCAGGGTCAATTATTAGGAGCCCCCCATGTCCAATTCCACAATTGAATTAAGCACCTGCTAAATTACTTGGGTTTAGTGTTGGGGGCGATGCAGAGTTCACATACAATATGCTCTCTACCTTTATGCAGCTCTCATGGCAGTGTCATGCCTACTAAAGGGCTGGTTGGAATGGTTAGCAGTCTCTTGAGCACCTCTCATTATTTTCAGATGTGTGTGTGGGAGGATTTCAAACAAATCAGAGTTCTCCTAGTTGAAATCAGGCTAGCCGACTCTCCCCAATCTTCAGGTATCTCTAGGGATCTTTTAAGCTCCTAATTTTCAGGGATGATAGAGAATTAAGTAGTATGCTGGGGAGATAGGGAGCTAGGCAGAAATGCCCAGGAGCAGAGCAGAAGGGGGCAGAGGAATGGATGGCACCAGGCTGCCAGAGAGAGAAGGAGGGCCTTCCTTCCCCTTACTCCTCTACCTTGCCTTTCTTTACCCCTTACTTCCAATCTCAGAATTGGACTTACAATCAGTAAACAATAACAAAACCCCACCCACATTCTAGTGAATTGGCCTGATGGAACAGAACACCCTGTTATCTTCTCTTTTATAAAATGAGGGGGTTGGAGTCCATCATCTCTCAGATTTCTTCCAGTTCAAAAGCCTATGAGCTCTGAATGTGTATGGATCAGACATTTTCAGAGCTCTCGGACTACACCAGCCTGATAATAGTGAACCAGGAGGAATATATGATAATAATAATAATAATAGCTAGCATTTATATAGCACTTTAAGGTTTGCAAAGTGTTTTGTGTATGTGATTTCATTTGATCCTCACAACAACTCTGTGAGATGGGTGCTATCATCCGCATTTTACACATGAGGAAACAGATTGAAAGAGGTCAGCACAAGATAGTAAGTATCTGAGAATGGATTTGAACTTAGGTCTTCCTAATTCCAAGTCGAGTATTACTTTCAACCAACTCTCACCTGTGGCTCCCAAGAAGCTGTAGCATGTACAGTGGTTGCACCCCAGTAAACTATGTCGGCAGACAGACTAAACCAGGTTAAGGGTAACCGACAGGTCCCAAACCTGTCAATGAATTGGGGGCGGCTGTCTACCTAAAGCACTTGAAGACTTCTCCCAGTATAATGGGTAGGTAAGAACAATTTGTTCCCGTGAAGACAGCTGAAGCAGGTGCTGTGAAATGCTTAGGGCTTAGTTAGACATTGAAAATGCCAAGGTCATTCACTGCATCTTGGGCCATCTCCAGCAGTCTTAACTTTTGTCTTGCCACTGGACTTCAATGACTCAGGAAGAGACTGATGATTTTGAGCAACTCTACCTCACTTAAATCCAATTCATGTGCAAGTCAAGACATCACCTGTGATATCATTGGTCCTCTTTGCTAACGAAGGACAAACAACAACTATCCACTATACTACTTAGCTACCAAACCCAAATATATGTTCATATACGTATTCATACACATACACACCAGTGTCATGGCAACTAAAACAGCTGAATATGTACACATGCTCTACGAAGGCAGGGACCAGTTATATCTCTGCATCCTCCACCACAGTGCTATGTATATAAGAGGTACTTAATAAGATTGGAAGGTAAGGAAAAGGAAAGAGGAAGGAGAGAGGGAAGAAAGAAAGGAAAGAAAGCAAATGTATATTTTTGCAGAACTGAATGAATTTACACCATCTAAATAGATTCCTTCACATTCATCTTTCTTGCTCTAATTTAGCTCTGAACTCCCCTCGTATACGTGTATTGTCCATCCCTATTCCTAGTTCATTGTGGGGGGTAAGGGTATATAGAGATTTTTATAAATACTTGAGAGCATTTGGTTAGGAACAGAGCATAATTCTATGAGCTTTTGCCAAGCATTCATAATTCAGTGTGAATATTCCACAGAAAGTCCTAAAGGGCCCTGATCAGTCTGGAAATAGGCAATAATGAGCTATAGACCTGATGACTCCTGATAGAAGTTTGTAATATGTTAACTATTGAGGACTTGCAGTCAGGCAGCCATTTCATCAAGGCCTTCTTGGGCCTAATTTGCTTGAGTAAATGACAAAAAACCTGTACAGATCATAAAAGACATTTGGAAAAGTTCCCCAAATGGCTCTGTTCCCAAAAATCTTAAAAAAGTAAAGTTATTCTGCAAAAGTATTCCTTAATATTTCAAAAACTTTCAATATGATTGAGCATAGGAATTTAGATTTAGAGCTGGGAAGAATCTTAAAGGCCATCAGATCTAACCCCTTCATTTTTCAGATGAAGAAACTGAGGCACAGAACGAGTAAATGACTTGCCCAGGGTCACATAGCTAATGAGTATCTGAAGCAAGATCTGAACCCAGGTTTTCCTGACTCTCAAATCCAGTGGATGGGGACCCACTGTCCCATGCTGCCTTTCAGTTACTGGAGCATGATACTGTAGCTTTTAGAGATAATTAATGGCTAAATGTCTACACACAATGTAGTTTGAACTTATTCTAATAAAAGGCTTCAAAACTCAGTGACCCCAACTTCACTTCAAGGGAGAGAAATTCAAGAGTATCGAAAGGGAAATGTTGCACAGCCTTCTAATTAACAATAATATGTTGCAGTTAGAAAACCAATTTTTCTTTTTCAAACCAATTTTATAGCTATTATCCTCTCATTCAATTTTCACTACAACCCTATTAGTAAAGACAGGGTTGGCCTCATTCTAGCCACTTGTCAGATGATAAAAGTGAGGGACAAGGATGTTCATCAATTTCACATAGTTTAGTTCATAGTAGAAGGACCAGAAGCTGATCTACTTGACTCCATGCCCCTACAGAAATTTCAAGTGCTCTCTACCAGAATTTTAAGTTAAGTTTAGAGTTCTACTTTTGTTTCAGTAAAAAAAAAAACATTAGGGAAATCCTTTCTTGGCTATGCAATTGAGTTCCCCTAACCTAAGAGGATCATTCTAATAAACAAATTGTGTCATACTGAATTGAAAGATAGTCTACAAAGTCTGAATGCTATTACTTCTAACATTTCTCTTTTGTTGCTTCACTGGAGAACTCCAGATAGCAGAGTTAGTACCACATTTCAAGGGAAAGACTTGTGCTTAGGATGTAAACAATAGGACCATAGCTGCAAAAATGTGAAAATGGATAAAAAAAAATTAATGTAGGCATGCTCTTTGGGCTCCAGAGGCAAGTTTGAAGTGTCAAAAGAATATAAAAAATTTCTTTCATTTTCAGGGTGGCTAATAAGGAAAACCAGCTGTCGGTTGGAACTAGGTTGAAAACATATGTCTGTAGAATGAGAATTCTCCCCCGACTAGAGTAGAAATCATAGTTAATAATTTTGGAAGTTAAATGTCAAACCTGAGAAAACATCTTAGCAATATTCCGCTTCCCTGACTTCCCTAGAGAAGGCCTATGTCTGAACTTATGTACTACGTTAAATGGCAAAGCCATGAAGAGGAGAAGGCGGTCTTGGCAGACTACCTAGAACCTCAAATGCCGCATAATTAAAGAAGAAAATACCCACAAAAACAAATGCACGCCAGACCAAAAGCCCTGATAGGCTCATCCTGTGCACTCTCCTATATTTAGTCACGGTTCAAGTACAATTCAGTTGAATGATAACTGCTATCCTTTCTAATGTCTTTCTCCTGGCAGCCTGAGAACATCCTGTGTGTGAATCGGGACGCCAAACAAATAAAAATTATTGATTTTGGATTAGCAAGAAGGTACGTCTATGTGTGCTTAGTTGTTATATTATAGGAGTAGCATTAAATACTTTACTCAGGTTTGAAGCAGTTTTTTTTCCTCATACATCCATTTAGAACACACAAATCATTCTCAGTCCTGTGTTTCTCTGAATGTGTAAAAAACCATTCCATCATTTCAAAATGTTTTCAAATGTGAAATGCTAAGTACTTTGTGAATCTGTATTATTTTAGGGTCCACTAATTCAAAATATTTGATAATTTGCCTTGGATATAAAATTCACCTTTATTCTTTCTGAGGAGAGAGGGCCTACTGAAGAAAATTAATAGTGCAAATATGATTTTTGTTTATTTTTGGCTAGGCAATGGGGTTAAGAGACTTCCCCAGGGTCACACAGCTAGTAAGGGTCAAGTGTCTGAGGTCAAATTTGAACTCAGGCCCTCCTAACTCCAGGGCCGGTGCTCTATTCACTGTGCCACCTAGCTGCCCCAGCAAATAAGATTTTAAGGGAGTGTGAAACATACTTAAGAAAACAGGAAATTTAGGGGCAGCTGGGTGGCACAGTGGATAGAGCACTGACCCTGAAGTCAGGAGGACCTGAGTTCAAATCCAGACTCAGACCAAACACTTGACACTTACTAGCTGTGTGACCTTGGGCAAGTCACTTAACCCCAATTGCCAAAAAAAAAAAAAGAAAAGAAACTGCCAAAGAAAACAGGAAGTTTTATGGATTTTAGCACATTAATTATTTCTTTGAAATTGGATGTTACCAATGACTGCCTACCGTTATCAGAAAATTAAAGCAGGCTTAGTGAGATCTTACTGGGTTATCTTTTATTAGTACTTCCAGAGGATGTGTGTGTGTGTGTGTGTGTGTGTGTGTGTGTGTGTGACTTCACATAGAATAATAATAATTAGCATTTCATAGTTCATTAAGGTTTGCAGAGCATGTGGTAAATATCACATTTTGTCCTTACAACAACCCTGTGAGGGAGGTGCTATTATGATATATCATATATAGGATATTTCAAAAGGCTTATAGTTTTTAGCTATATGCACTAACTATACCTCAACTAACAAACATTAAATACCTACTTGTTTAAATACCTACTATGTATTAAACACCTACTGTGTGCCACATACTGTGCTAGGTATCAGGGATACAAAAATAAGAGAAAGAGCCTCTTCCTTTCTTCTTCCCTTCATTCCTCCCTCCCTCCCTCCCTCCTTCCTTCCTTCCTTCCTTCCTTCCTTCCTTCCTTCCTTCCTTCCTTCCTTCCTTCCTTTCATCCTTTCTTCTTTTCTTCCTTCCTTTCTTCTTTTTCTTCTTTCTTTCTTTCTTTCTTTCTTTCTTTCTTTCTTTCTTTCTTTCTTTCTTTCTTTCCTTCTTTCTTTCCTTCTTCCTTCCTTCCTTCCTTCCTTCCTTCCTTCCTTCCTTCCTTCCTTTCTTTCTTTCTTTCTTTCTTTCTATAAGCAAGTATGCATAAATATGTGTATGTGTGTGTGTGTTGTGTGTGTGTGTGTGTGTTGTGTGTGTGTGTGGTGTGTAGTGTCAACTTTGGGGACACCCTGTATATAGACTAGCCCAGTAGGCTGTAACTACCCTGGCACTTAGAGTTTAAATGGGAATTTTCAGAAAATTAGACCAACTGGCCAGCTATACAGAGCAATAGGCCTTTATCTGCCATGTTTAATTTCCACGAGGGAAGGTTACATAGTTTATATCTCCCTGAGTGGGAGCATAGAAGGAGAGCTAGGACAACCAGGAATGCGTGCTACGCACCAGCCCCAAGCCCCAGACCAGAGGTGTTACTTTCAGAGTTGGATTGGGAGGGGTGAGGATATTGTCAGGGCTCAGGCACAATGATTGTCAAGCCAAGGGGGAGGAAAGAGGCCATAGTAAGTGTCATCTCCAGGATGAGGCACATTTTTACACTAGACTCTTGGCATCAGTCCAGGTAATGAGGGCAGCACCTGTAGGTATAGTTCAAGAAAACCAGTGTGGTGCAGTGGATAGAAAACTGATCTCAGAGTCAAGAAGACCGGTTGAAGTGCTGTCTATGACACAATACTTGCTGTGGGGCCCCGGCATATCATTTAACTCCTCGGTATGCTAATCAAATCTCTATGGGCATCAGTTGTGGAGAAGGTATTGATCCACATTGATAGAAGGAATTCTCTTACCAGGGAATTCCTTATACTTACAAAATCACAAGCCTTGTCCCTTTCATTAGATGGTATGAAAAATAAGCCTTTACAACTCCCACAATTTCTATGGAAACCCCCAAGAGAGTTGCTGGTCAAGGGTGTTTTCCCCTGACGTCCAATTTCAGTCACAGCAACAAGAGTGAAGATTCTTCCACGCTTTTAACAGTTTCTGATATTGTTGCTCTCTTCTTCTCAATTGCAGATATAAACCCAGAGAAAAGCTGAGAGTGAACTTTGGGACTCCTGAATTTCTTGCTCCTGAAGTTGTGAACTATGATTTTGTTTCTTTCCCTACTGACATGTGGAGTATTGGTGTGATTGCCTACATGCTGTAAGTAGGCCTAGAATCAGAATCTTCAAAACTGTTCCCATCCCTATCCTTGCATTCAACTTTGCCGTCCTAGAAAAAAAAAAGCAATAATAGATAGCATCATAAAAGTTAGAGCTGAAAGGGGTTTTGGGGAAAAATCCTATTTGAGCCCCATCATTTTACAAAGGAGGAAACTGAGGCACAAAGTCACATAGGTTAATGTCTTTTACAAAATAAATGAATAAAACTTCTACAGAGACCAATCAATAAGCATTTTATTAAATGCATCCTTTGTGTAAGATATTATACTAGGAACGTTAGGGATACAATGTAAAAGCCAGACAGTACCTGCCCTCAAGGAGCTTACATTCTAAGTGTATGTGTGTGTGTGTGTGTGTGTGTGTGTGTGTTGGGATAGTATATATAACATGGATAAGATAAGTAGGCAGAAGACATATATAATATATGCACACATACACACATATGTATGTGTACATATATACAGATATGTATACACATACATAACACACATATATCACACAAATTATTGTAACCCTCACTGCCTGGAAAGTCAGTCAAACAGTCTTTATTAAGTGCCTGTTATGTGCTAGGCACTGTGCTGAGTGCTGGGGATACAAATATGAAGAGAGAAAGACAATCCCTGCCCTCAAGATGCTTACAGTTTAGGGTGGAAGACAAAACACAAAAGGAAAGCGAAAAGCTGGGGGCGGGGAGAAGGTTTAAAAAAAAAAAGCAAGGAAGGTTCAATTTCATCCTTCCCCCAGGTTATCCACTACCCTTAAAGAGATTAGGGGTATCTGGGCTCTATGTCTATGGCTCTGGTCCCCGTCAGTGGTGTTTCTTCCAAGTGGAAAGAGTGGTTCCCTGCATTATAGTTCCACAAGCCACAAATAATCAGATTAGCTTTTACACAGAAATATTTACTTCAAAAAGTATAATCGTAAATATGCAAATCTATTCTTTCAAAATGTGGAAGACATAATTCCCCTTCTCCCTTGTACCACCTCAGTCTCTGAGGAGGGGCAAGTGATTAGATTCATTGTTTAGTCCAGTTCCTATAAGGCCTTGTCCCAGTTCGAAGTCCAAACTCTAATCCCACCATCCTTGGGTCCTAGGCACCCTGGCTTCTCGGGGTTTCCATGCTGGGGTGGCTGGCTGCACCATCTTGCCTTCAATCCTGGTTCCAAGGTCATCATGGCTTGAACTCTGAGGTCCAGTGAGTATTGCCATTGGCAACTGAAATTGAGGACAAATGAAAGGGAACAGAAACAAGCAACTCCAGGCCCTTTTCTTGGGGTAGGGGTGAAAAAGAGAGAGCGGAGGAAGAGCATCCTTTCCATCATTCTAGTCCAATTCATGAGTGAACTGGGCTCTTTACCTTCCAGATGAAACTAGAAAAAGTGGCAGAAAAAGAGAGTCTGAAAAGTGAGACTGTTTCAGCCTCTCCAGCCAATCAAAAGAGACTATCCCCACCCAGCGGGTAGGCGATGCAGAGGCTGCTAAGTTAGGAGAGCTGGACTTGCTCCAAAGGCCCCTGGGGTACTTCCATGTTGGGAGGACTGAGCACGCACAGACAAGCCTCGGTTACTCTTACAGTGTGAATTCAGTGTGGCATAGGGTCCAGAGAACTGGCCTTAGAGTCATGAAGACCCCAGTTCAAGAGCTGCCTCAGGCCTATACTGGCTGTATACTGTGACAAGGTAATGCTCTCCTAGACAAGTTGCAGTGAAGATGGCAATCTGCATTGTGGAGGGAATTTTCTTATCTAGGAGTTCCTCATATGAATGAAATCACACTTCTGGTTTCTATCCTTAAATACAAAGTAATTCTGAGGTGGATGAGAACAAACGTTACTTTCTAGGAACCAATATACAGATGCAACCACTCACTCTTTCTCAGCTAACATACTGGAAAAGGTTTGCTCCCTTGGTCCTCCTACTCCTAGGCAGGCAATTGATTCATTAGAAAGGGACAATTTACTAACCAGTCTCCTGATATCACAGATAAATAAGTATTACTGAGCTTAATGTTCAAAGATGACACTACTGATGGGTGATCGCTCTCTGTGTGTGGGTGTATCTGAAAAGGACTTTCCACACACAGAACATGTGAGAGCTATTCTTTGATTTGTGGCTTCAGTCAAGGTTGACTAAGCCCTTGTGCTGTTTTCTTTGTGACCTTCAGCCGATGGCTGCTCTGCAGGCTTTGTTGTTATGTGGTCTATGTGTTTCTGTCTGCTGCTCTCTGGGCAGCTGGTTGCCTACATTCGATCCATATTGTCCAAGGCTCTGCCTCACGGTAGCCTTAAAGCAGGTCTTCTGACCTGACTGTGGTTTTCTGACATTAGCTGATTTGAGAAAAGTTTATCCCAGTACTGTCTGGCTGGCCTAGTCAAGTACAGAGAATGGTTCACAGGGAAAGTCCTTTGCTGTGCATGGTTTGTTTTGGGCAGATTCTTATTTTCTCCAACCTGGGGCACTTTAGGTAGCTGTGACCCTCCAGTAATACATGACACTATAACCAAGGCTTTACCAAAGGGACAAGGTAACTTCCTGGAGGTACCATGTGATGGAAGTTACAGTTTCACACCTCAATCCGTGCCCTCCTTCCATTTCACCACCATCATCAAAGGCTCCCAAAATAAACTGCAAAATGGTTTAAATAATTTATATTTCAACCCTCCTACCTTGGTGGTTGGCTGCTTTCTTTGTTTGTTTTTAATAGTCATTTTCTATTTATTCTTTCTTACTTTTTTTTTTTTGGCCTTTTCTTATCATTCTGAGCTGTATTGTCATACAGCTCTAGATAGCATTGGCAGATTCAAATGTTATCTAATCCTCTGTCTGTGACTGCCTGGTGGGCCCTAAAAAAAAAAAAAAGAGAGATTTTAAGAGCAGAAAGTTTCATTAGTAAGGGAAGGTCTACTGGAACAAGAAAAAATGGAAATAAAGATGACTTTAACAACAGGATGTCAAAAAGTGCATGTGTCAGGCAGGAGCACCATTGATGAACACTGGAATATACCCCAAAGTCTCATTTGCAAAACAAGTTAGTAGGTCATTTACTGTCTGTTCAAGTCACAAGGTTAGATGTTTCAGGGGAACTGAAAATTCTGAAGTCACCAAAGGGTTTTTCCATAGGAGGTTTTCCCCCCCTCACTTTGTGCCACAGTAATCACCAGATATTTTCTATTTAGGATTTACATTTTAGGTCATAGAAAGTGTTATTTTTAAAAAGCTACAGTTAATTGATATAATGCACCTGTATTTTCAATTCAACAATCATTCATTTGTCACTTGAAGGTTTATGAAGCCTTTTCCTCCTACAAGTTCTCTGAAGTTAGGAGTCTAAGCATGATTATCCCCATTTAAAAATATGAGAAGGCTAAACTCAAAGAAATCAATTGACTTGTTCAAGGTCACACCAATCCAAATCCATCAATCAGCAGTCAACAATTATTTATTATGTGCCAGGCACTGTGCATGGTGCTGGGAATAAAAAGAAAGAACAAAAATAAATCTCTGCCCTCAAGGAGCTTACATTCTAATAGGGGGTTATGTGTCAGAAATGGGACATAAAACCAGATCTCTACTCCAAGTGTAGTGTTCAACCCAGTTAAAAAATATTGATTAAATGTTTGTTTGCTTTGTGTAAGACACTATACTGGGCACTGGGTATAAAAGAGAAAAACATAATAGTCCTCAGCCTCAAAGAGATCACTGTCCCTTGGGCAATACAATATGCACAGAGATAAGTTTAATTACATTGAAAGGACAAAAGAAACAAAGGAAATATCAGACAAAATGTTCTCTACAGCCCTTCATAACCTAGCTTCCCCTCATTCTTCCAGTCTTCTTACGACATGTACCCCTCAATCCAGTGGCACTGGCCTTCTGGCTGTTCCACAAACAAGACACGCTACCTCTTGGTTCTGGGTATTTTCTCTGCCTGTCCCTCATGCCTGGACTGCTCTCCCTCCTCATTTCTACCTCCTGGCTTCAAGTCCTAGCTAAAATCCCACTTTCTGCAAGATATCTTTCCCAGTTCCTTTTGCTTTTGTTGATTATTTCTTGTTTATCTTGTATGTAGCTTGTTTGTACATATTTGCTCGCAAGTTGTCTCCCCCATTAGATGATGAGCTCCCTGAAGGCAGGAATTATCTTTTGCCTTTCTTTTTATCCCCAGCGCTTGGCATAGAGCCTGGCACATAGTAGGTACTCATTAGGCAGTTCCTCATATCAATGAAATAACAGGTTCAGTCCCAGCCTTTCTTTAGTTCTTCTTCTGTCTTCCTTAATGCTAGCTCTGATCATGTTAGTGTCCTTAAAAAATCTTCAGAGCCTCCCTGTTACGTCTAACATACAAATAACATGCAAATATATGCCTACAAAATACATAACATACAAACATATCCTTTAACATACAAAATCTCAGCTAGCATTTTTTGCACTCTGTAACGTGGCTCCCATTTTCCTTTACATTCTGATTTCTCATTACTCCCCTTTACACACTCTCCATTCCATCTAAACTGACCAATTCTCTTGTTTACAACAAATTCACTTTCTAACTTTGTGCCTTTGCTCAAGTGATTCATGTTTGCAATATACAGTCTAGGTGCCATTTCCTACATTATCCTTCCAGTATCACTTTGTATATGCTTATCCATGTCCAAGTTGAGTCTCCCTAGTAGAATGTAAACTCTTTAAGGGTGAAAGGAAAGAAAGAAACAAGCATTTATTAAGCACCTACTGTATCCCAGGCACATAAACACTAAACACTTTACAGATATCTCATCTGAACCTCACTACAACCCTGGGAAGTAAGTGCTGTTATTATTTTGTAGCTGAGGATAATGAGGCAGAATGAGGTTAAGTGACTTGTTCAGGGTCCCACAGTTGGCAAGTGTCTAAGATCATTTTTCAATTCAACTCTTTCCAATTCCAGACCCAGGGCTGTTTCCACTGCATGGCCTATCATGGTGGAATGGCTTTATTTTAATCTTTTTTTCCCCAGGTCTTGAAACATGTTTAATGAATGTTAAATTGAATTGAATTCATAGGATCATGGATTTAGCACTGGAAGGGATTTTAGAAACCATTTAGTCCAGCTCCCTCATTTTACAGATTGAGGAACTGAGGCCCAGAGAGATATGTGGCTTGTCTGGGGACAAGTATCTAGTGTGTCTGAGGCAGAATTTGAACAAAGTTCATTCTGATTTGAAGTCCAGGGCTCCATCCACTATACTAGGATTGTCAAGGGCAAAAACATATCTATACACATTCTAAAATTTCTCTGTTTTTGTCTTTCAGGCTCAGTGGATTGTCTCCTTTCCTGGGTGATAATGATGCTGAGACACTAAACAACATCTTGGCTTGTAGGTGGGACTTAGAAGAAGAAGAATTCCAAGACATCTCTGAAGAGGGCAAGGAATTCATCTCTAAACTTCTGATTAAGGAGAAGAGGTAATCCCAACTAATTCCATAACTTTAAAGTGCATTGGTGGTCAATCACCATGGAATATTCTTAGGAACTGTCAGCCTAATAAGCACCCAATGATTTTAGCACTATTTACAATTTTGGTGCAGCTTTATAGATAGAATATTACTGGCAGCATTTGCTCCAGTCCTATGTTTGCCCAGAAATAATTTAGGCAAGTACTTAAGTGATGTGCTTTCTATTTGTTATTATATTAAATCATCATTAGTTTATAATTCAGAGGAACAGAAAAGAGTAAAGCTGAATTATAAGGAGTTGGATTTTAGAGGCATAGAGGTGGTAGGAAGCTTGTTTTCCCCTGGATTAGCACTGGGAATATAAGGAAGCAAATGATACAGCCTTATATTCTAATGGGAGGGGGAATTGGATATTTAGCATACATACAGATGAGAAAATAAAAGGAAAATCAGGAAGCTCTACATTTAAACTATTCAAGGTAGATAATTTTTATTTCATCATAAGAAGACCAAAAAACAAAAACAAAAGCAAAAAAAAAATCACAACAAGACCTCCAGACATCGAGATTCTTTGCCCCGTCCCATGCTTCAGCATTCATTTATCCCCTGAATGAATAGGTCAACATTGAGCAATGCTGACATTGCCTATGGCTGCCTATTTTGCAGGAAAGAGGTGAATATAAAAATTCAGTCAGTAGGAGGAATCATTTGCTCTTATGGGGGTAAAAGGACAATATAAATTCATGATATTTCTGTTACTTGTTACTATTTCCAGGGAGTGCTCAGATGGAGAATGTCTTCCCTCTGTCAGGAACCTTAGAATTCCAAGGCTGACATGCTCCACTCACTTAACAAAACTCTTATTTTCCCCTTTAGCTGGAGAATAAGTGCAAGTGAAGCCTTGAAGCATCCCTGGTTGTCAGACCACAGTCTACATCGCAGACTCAGCTCACAGGTTGCCAACTTTGATTTTTCGTGCAGTTTTAAAAACCTTCCTCTTTACTGTGCTGACCAGATATAGGAAGCACATGTATCTATTTTGAAGTTTTTCCATTGCTTTGTGTCATATTAGCCATCAGATTTTAAGTTGAATGCAAATGGTTTGAAACTTGTTTGTTTTTTTAACTCAGAGTTCTTGATCACATGACAGCTTCAAATTCACGGAACTTTAGAGCTAGACTGAATCTTAGATTTCATCTGGTTCATCTCCATCATTTTATACAGGAGGAAACTGAGACCCAGTGATGCAACATGAATTGTCCAAGTCATACAGCTAGTAAATGGTGGACCCAAGACCAGAACAAGGGTTTTTGCTATTTCTTACAGTAAACAGTTTTAAAGCCCAACTCTGTCTAGGAAATCATGCTAAGTATTAGAAATCAGCACACAAAAATGAAGCAAAACTCCATTCTTGCCCTCAAGTTGCTTATACTAATTAGTAAATGCAGTTTAAAGAGGGAGAGAACCATGATGATTGGGAGCATCAGTGAAGGCTTTTTGTAAGAGATATCACTGGGGGAGAACTTGATGGAGGGGAACCTTTAATCAGACAGTCAGTGAATACCAATAATGTGCAAGGCACTGTGCTAAGTTCTGAGGATACCAAGAAAGGCAAAAAAGTCTCAACCTTTACAGATCATACATTCTAATGAGGGAGACAACATTTAAAGAACTAGGTACCTACAGAATGTACATGGAGTAGATGGAAGGCAATCTGAGTGCGGAAGGCAGTAGCATATGGGGGAGGGGGATCTGGGGAAGGCTTTCTTCCCTAGAAGGTGGGAGGTTTCTAAGGGGAGGAGGTAAGTAAGCAGAGTACATTAAAGGCATGGGGGAAAGCCTGCACAAAGGCACATTTGGGAGAGATGGCCACTCAAGTTTGGAGGTCAGCAGGGAGGCCAGTTTGGATGGATAATAGTGGAACCATCACATTTGACATCAACTGCTTCAGTTGATCCAGTGTGCCATGTGAGGAAGTAGACAAATGAAGTTGGGAAGACTAGATGACCAAATATGGATAAAATTTTGTCCTAGAGGTGGCATATTTTTAAAGCCACTAAATGATTGGGTTTTGTATTCTAATATTTTATTTTTTCCCCAATTACATGTGAGTGATTGGTTTTTAGGATATCTGAAAGAAAAAGATTAAGAGCTGGAGGGGGCCTTAGAGGTCAAATGCCAAAAGGATGGAAATGATCACATATGGCATTATTTCCCAAAACTACATCTCTGGAAAATCTCCGATAATGATTTCTGCATATATTTAGGTTATTTTTGATAAAGATGAGGAGGGAGTAGGTAAACTTTTGCAGATAATTTTTATAGCATACTACAGCTTCATAGCCACACAATTAACTGAAAGATTTAGAGTATACAAGGTCACCCTATGCTTATTGCTTTAAAAAAATTTCAATATACCATTTGATTTGGCAGAAAGGAGGGAAATTAGCATTTATTCAGAACCTACAATGCACCAGGCCTGTGCTTAGTGCTTCATAAATGTTATTTTATCCTCACAGCAATGTTGAGAGGTAGGTGCCATTATTATTCCCATTTTATAGTTGAGGAAACTAAGGCAGACAAGGTCCAGTTGCCCAGGGTCATATAGCTGGTAAGTGTCTGAGGCCATATTTCAGCTCAGGTCTTCCTTACTCTAGGCCCAGCTCTCTGCTAGCTAGTAGAATGCCTCTGTCCAATACAGTGAAATCAAATCTTAAAGGGTTTCTTTTAAAAAAAAGTCTTTTATGAATATATTAAAATCTTACAAGGTTCTTTGATAGACACAACAATAGATATATTTTTTTCAATAGTCACCTGAGTATCAAAAGTCAGCAATAACAATAATAGTCCTTTAAGGTTTACAAAGTGCTTTACAGCTACTACTATCTCATTATCCTTACAAGAATCCTGGGAGGTGGTTACTATTGTTATTCCCATTTTACAGATGTGGAAACTGAGGTAGATAGCGAGAAAGTGATTTGTCCAGGGTCACATAGCTAGTGTCTGAGGTTGGATTTGAACTCAGCTGCCTTTATAACGCGCAAAATAGAGAGATATATGCTTACCAAAGGTATTTGTGCAGTCTATAATCCTGTCAAAATCCAAATAGATGAGGAATACTTCTAGATGTTTTATGGGTGGCGTTGTGTGGATTGCTTTGAGTCCCAGAACGCAACAGGGCCAAGCTCAGTTGAGATTTTCCATTATTCAGAAAAGATTGGTTTAGCCATCTACAGAGGAAAAACCAAAGGGATGAAGAATGAACAACCCAAGTGATACACTAATGATACTCTAGTGTCCCAAGTGACACACTAGTATCTGATATACTGGAAGTCCAAGTGATACACTGGTATCAGCCTGTCCCAAAAGTCTTACTGCAGTTTTAAGCTTAAAAAGCATTAATATCTTAAAACTGCATTAAGATTTTTGGGATGCTCTGTAATTTAAAAAACAAAACAAAAGAAGCTCTTCAACACAATGGGTAAATTCTCTATGGAGCTCTATATTGAAAGTGATAGACTAGAATTGCTTAGGATAAAATGACATGGAAATGTATCTGCTCTGGAGAAAGAAATATTTATATCACTTATTGGTTCACAGATCTATCAGAATATCAAGCTAAGTAGGGTTTTTTTTTCTTCCTATTGGTACTCTTCAGAATCTGAATGTCCTTAGACTCAATGTCATAAAATACAGAAATCACAGGAGGTGGTTACTGGAACTATAATGAAAAGAAGATGCAATATAGGAAAAAAAAATCACATGAGCAGACTACTACTTTGTCCAGTTACTAGCTACAGAGTGGAATCAATAATCTAAACAGAGTAAAATCCTCTTTTATATAATGAATGGTTTATAAAGACAAAGATTTGAATTATAGGATTTGCCCTGCACAAATGCTTTTTGTTAATCCTTTAGTAATTTTGTCATTTAAATTCATTTCTAAGAGAATTGAAAAAAACTATTGGATTGAATGTGTTTTTAAAATCTCTAACCAATATTCAAATGAAATAGAATATTGTTTTTCAATAAAATTCTCATTTGCCAATTTAATTCCCTCATTCTCACCCCAAAGATTCATTCTTGATATGACTTTGGCCCCTGATCCATTCTGTAAAACAGGTCATTTTATTTTGTTTTTTTTTAGGCAATTGGGGTTAAGTGACTTGCCCAGAGTCACACATATAGTAAGTGTCAAGTGGTCAGGTGTTTGATCTGAGGCCGGATTTGAACTCAGGTCCTCCTGACTTCAGGGCCGGTGCTCTATCCACTGCACCACCTAGCTACCCCCAAACAGGTCATTTTACATTGAAAAAATAGGAATTTTACCTGGGTAACCTTGGCTCAATTTCTTCCTCTATGGAGTTGAACTGGATTCTCTTTAAGGTTACTTCTAAATCTAATGATGTTAGTTTTACTTAGAATCAATTCGAACTATAGGGCCAAAGGAATGTAAAGCTTTATTCATGCTATGCCCTCAACAAATTCAATCCAACAAACATATACTAAAAGCCTACAATGTACAAGGTACCCTGCCGAGTTCTTCTTAACACTTGTGTTTGAAATCCTGAATGTATAAATTATGGCGAAATTCAAAAGAAGTTATCCTTGGAAACTGGTTTCTTTAAAGTTCTTTGCCTCTTATATGTTTAATACTACATGCTGTATTTTGATCTAATTAAGAGTTAGCCTTAACCTTAATTTGCCATTTACCAACTAAGCTAGTCAGTCACACCTCTTGAGTACCTACTATGTGTCTAGTATTGTACTAGGTCCCTGTAGAGGCACATAAAATGATTCTATAGCACCCTCCTCTCTCAGAGTTTTCAGCCTCGTTTGGTAAACAAAACTAACATGCATTCAACAACTAGAAAACAATTGTGTTTGTGTGGTACTAACTACAAACACAGAGGTGGTACCTTCAATAAACATTAAACAGTGCAGAGCACTGTTCTAAGTAATGTGGAGCAAACATGGTTCATTAAACTCATGGGGCTTTACATTCTAGTAAGTGGATATGACACAGGCAATATAATACCATGTGATAAGTACATTAGAGAGTTGTGGAACAAAATGCTACGTGCTAAAATACAAGGTCATTTTTGATTGAGGAAATCAGGGAAGGCTTCATGGAGGAGATGGAATAAAGCCCTTTGGGTTTCAAGAAGGGAGAGATACCCCACCCCTACCCCATAGCAAATGACTTGAAAATGTGCTTATCTATCACAAGTGAGAAGTTAAACAAGAGCCCTAATCTCTTCCAAAATATCTTGTGACTTTCCTAGAAGAAGAAGAACCAAGGTTCTAAAGCTCAGTAACGGGTGGCCCAGGACCCTGCTGAAGAGTGTTCCAACTTGGAAGGTTTGTCTGGGTTCCTCCATTTTTTTCCTTTCATGTCCGGGAAGGTTGTCTGTATAAATTCTTGATGGTGATGATAAAGAGGGTCCCACAGGTCATCTGCCTGCCTTCCTGCACCACATAGAGTAACATCTCTGTACCAACAAACCCAGCTCTAGGCCTTGCTTTTACTCTGGGGCCCTAAAGTGACAGCTTCCCTGTATTCATCGAAAAATATCCTTGAACTTAGATTAAATTGAACTAATCCAATCACCAAGCATTTATTTGGCTTTTGCTTCATGAAAGGTACTATATTCAGCACCGAGAATGCAAAGACTAAATGAAAATAGAAAACAGACCTGTCCCCTAGAAGCTTACATAGTAAAGAGCTTGCTTAATTTATCTTGGGAAAGAGAAGGCTTAGAAAAGAACTAAGAAAGGAGCCTTTGTGTTTTGTTTTGTGTCCTTTTTTTTTTGAATACCACAAGTTGAATACAAAGGTCTTTTATATCTATTGAATAAGAGGGCAAAATTGATGTTCAATTGTGGGTTTTCTCCCCTGTCCTTTTATTTTTGATTTTTTAAAATAATAAATTTGATTGATGACTTTTACATTTACATCAGACATTTCCAGACCTACCCTCCACATATACTCAGTCACCCAATAAGCCCTCTCTCCTAACCAAAAGACATAGGTAAGTAAAACCAATCAACATGGGGACCCTCTTTTACAGTGTATGCAAATTTCCATTCTCACAATCCCTGAAATTCTCGCAACTCTCCTGAAAGGAGGAAAAAAATTCATCAGCTCTTCTCCAAGGCCAAGATTGCTCATTCCAATTATTCAATGTTTGGTTTGATTTAGTGTTCTTTTTTTTTTTTTGGTAATTGGGGTTAAGTGATTTGCCCAGGGTCACACAGCTAGTAGTAAGTGACAAGTGTTTGGTCTGAGACCAGATTTGAACTCAGGTCCTCTTGACTTCAGGGCCAGTGCTCTATCCACTGTGCCACCTACCTGCACCCTATTTGTCTTACTCTAGTCATATACATACTGTTCTCCTGGTTCTCCTTCTTCACTCTATGTCAATTTATATGTTTCTCTGAATTCCCCCTTGATTCTTAAAGCACAGAAATAGCTAATGGCATTCATGCAACCATTTATTCAGCCATTCCCAAATCTATGGGCACTTATTCTGTTTCTAGGTTGGTGTTTTTTTGTTTTGTTTTGTTTTGTCTTTTTGCTAACACAAAAAATGCTGCTATGAAAATTTTGCTATATATATGTATTGGACTTTTATTTAGTAATCACTGGCTCGTGGACCTAAAGGAAAGTTAAAGAAGATTTGGAATTGCTGAATTGGATTGTCAGACATGTGAAGAAATTAGAATTTAGGAAATTAGGGAGGGAGGAGACCTTATTTTTCTTTTATATAGAGCAGGACAAAGAGACCGGATTCTCTTTTCTTTCCCATCTTTCCTTGAACTTATGCTGTCTTCAGGTTTTGTACACTGTCATCCTCACCCTGAGTAGTCTGGGGCTGTGTGACACTGGACATGTTTCCCTGCCCTTTTCTTCTCTCACCTTCTATTGCAGAAGCATTTTCTCAGCCACTTAAAAACCATTCATTCCCAGTAGCCACAAACCGTAAGGGTTCACCGCAAACCACCTTCCCACCATAAGGAAGGGTGCTACCTTTGAAACACTGTGGGAACTAGATCAGTGGGAGAAAGTGAGGTCAGAGTCTAAGGAGAGCCAGTTACCAAGGGCTGGTTATGTAGGGAATGGGGAGAGGTGGGGGAAAAGAATGTGAAAACCAACTTTCTTGAAATCAAGTTCAACACCAATGGAACTCCTAATATGAAGCAGGGTTAAGCATTTGGGCTGATTTCAGTTGTAGTATTTGAGTTCTATGGTTAGATTCATTTTCAATTTGTTTTTGGAACAAGATATTATTTTAGCTTTTAATACGTTCTTCTTTTGCCCTGGTCATTTGTACTAGCCACCCACTTTTCCTGGGTTCCCAAAAATCACGTTGCACCGCAAAAAATCAACTAAGCCCCCACCACAATCCTGGGAAGAGACATTTTGTACCTTTCTGGTGTATTGTGGTTGTTAGCTTTATTGCTACAGTTAGCACTAAATGGAAATATACAGCAGCTTCTCAAAGCCATTTGATTGACCATGAAGGACCAGGGAGGTCTATGGCTCAAGATTTGATCTGTTGGGTTTTTAAATATTGTTTGTGGGCTGTGTATTTGTGTGAAATAAATACAAATCCAAGCTACTAGTGCTTGAAGCAACTTTAGTCCAGATAAAGGGAAAAAGAGAATGCCTTATACTACTATCTACCAGTGTTTGTATTGTTTTCTTGGCAAGGTGTGTTACAACCTTAAGATAGTATCAATTATTATAATCTGTTTATAAATAGCTATTCCAGTGGAAAAATAAAAGACTTTTCTAAGCCATATTCATATGGCTTAAAATCTACGTTGCAAGTTAGAATATATAAATTTCCTAAAATTTGTTAGAGGCAGTTTGATATGGAAGAGGAAATATCATGAAAATCAACCTTACCAACATTTCAGGTCTTGTTGCTATTATATCCTTGACCATTTATGAGGATGTTGCTTCAGAGCCTAATAGCCATTTTATGTAGGGGATGATTGAGACCTGGATTGCTCAATGTTTGATGTGGTTGTACAAGTCAGTGGGAACACTCCCTTGCATGATGACCATCCTGTACTTTGACCCCCAGGGTATGGATAACAAAAAATGAAATGAGTGTCTAGTCCTGCAAAAGGTTGTCCCGTCTCCCAATTCGCATTAAATGAAGAACCCTTATCTAGCCTTCATTGTTATAAGAAGGATTAAAATATCTTGCATGAAAAAATTTAAACTTTTGGTAAGCAGTAGGATTTGGCAAGGGGTTTCATTTTCATACACACATATGCGCGTGCACACACACACACACACATACACACACAGAGGACGGCTAGGTGGTACAGTGGATAGAGCACTGAGCTTGGAATCAGGAAGATATCTTCCTGAGTTCAAATCTGGCCTCAGATACTTACCAGCTATGTGAACCTAGGCAAGTCATTTAACCCTGTTAGCCTCAGTTTCCTCATCTGTAAAATGAAGTGTAGAAGGAAATGGCAAACTACTTCAGTATCTTTGCCAAGAAAACCCCAAATGGGGTCACAAAGAGTCAGACATAACTAAAATGACTAAACAATATGTATATACATTATATAATATATATTTATGTATATATAATACACATCTACAAATATACGTACATATATGTGGATGTGGGTGTGGGTATGTGTGTTTTCCTGGGTAGGAGGCATAACCAGGTAATTATTATTTTTTTAAAATTACCACTGAATCAACAAGATTCTTATTCTGTTTCCTTTGCAGGAAAACTGCTGTGGTTGCTGCCTTTCGAGGACATTTTGGAAAAATCAGCAGTTCTGATGCTTTGACCCCAGCAATGACTGGAGGCATTTACCAAATGGTGTAACTCCACCTCTTTAACTGTATTACTAAGCTGCTTTAAAAAAAAATTAAGTCAGGCAGCTTCCAGAAGAGGAAACCAACAGCTGCTGTTCCCAAGGAGGCGTAAATACCAGAGCCCCACAGTCTTTACTTCACCTCTGAGATGGCTGCAGTAGTTTACTTCGGGAAGACAATTTTATCTGCTGTCTTTTGCTGTCTCCAATGATGGAGCTTGTCATAATGTCAGCTGTTGCTCAGTTAGGCAGGTGGCCCAGAGCTGAAATTGATCTGAGATTTTCAAACCTGAAATTGTGTTTGAAGTAGAGGAGAAAGAATGCTAACAAGTTTTAAACTATGAGTATTACATGATGGAGATTTTTCGTGGCAAAAGTTCTTTTGAATCTAGTATGTACAGGAAACTTATTACTTTGGCTTATGTTACACCTGAATTATTATCATGGAAAGTTCATTCAGGATGAAAGAGTCGGGGAAAGGTGTCAAAGAGTGGATCTGTTATCCCCCTAGATTTTCCAAACTTTGATCTAATTTTGTTAAGACTGCTGAAATTGTCAATGAATGACTGTATCCAAATTCAACAGCTAGCAGGCAAGGTCTCATTGGGAAAGGAAGGCATTGCTTTTAGTCCTGGAGTGATTTGGGGCACTGAGCCCAAATGTCTGAATAAATTGAACTATGACAAGTCACACAGGAAAGTGAATTTATAACTTAAAAGTAAGGAAAATCAGTACATTCACTTGTTGGCTGATTAGGATTAAGCATTTATTAAGTTCTTCTGTGTATAAGGAAAACAGATTCCCAGTTAGAAGCTTCAACCTATTCCCTGAGCTATTAAGCCATTTCATTAGATATTGAATAAAGAAAATACCTCTGACTAATGAGCTCGTATTGCACACAAACTATACTTTTGGAAAAAAGCAGAACTCCTGCCACAGTCTTAAAAAAGAAAAACATAAGATATTTTTAAAATAAAAACAATGCTTTCCAAATTCTGTATCACTTTCCAAATTCTTTATCAAATGTTAAGTTCAGCCACTTTCTCCATATGTCTGTTTCCAAATAGCTGTTGTGCTGGGGTCAGTTACAGTAATGTCTTTGTTTTGGGTCACTGCTCTTTCTCTGATACTGAAGGGGATTGCTTTATAAAGAATTTGGTAACTAGCATTGAAGGCTGATTAAATTTTCTCAACATCCCTCATATTTCTAATGTCCATCTGACGAATCCTTCAGATAGGTCTTCAAAAAGGACATATGAATAAAATGTTTATTCCCATTTTACAGGTTTGTGGGAACTGTAGGCAATTGAGATTATGAAATTTGGCCACGGTCCCATGGGAAGGTATTGGGAAAGCCAGGCACTAAACTGCCTTCCTTCTCCAAAGTTCTTGTCATCATACTTCTCTCCTTTTTTTGCCTCTGGCCTATTCATTTTTGTTCCAGTCTTGATTTCCCCTCCTGTTTTTACATGACTATGCTTATAATTTTTAATTTGGTTTTCTTATGGGGAAAAAAGAGAAAGAAACTGTATGTCTGAGGTCTTATATTACTGGGCTATCTTTAGCTGATGATATGCAGTGTATTTGGAAAGTTATAAGCCAGTACATGCATGAATAATCACTTATACCACAGGGTCCTGGCATCCATTCAAATGCTAAATAGGACACAAGGGTCTGATTTTAAGCCCCTTATGGAACAGTGTGTTCAACTATGGAGCAAGGAAAGTGTACCCAGATATTCTCTTGCCTAGCTGGTTGTAACTCGAATTTTGATCCATTTTATCATCTCCATTTCTCTAAATTCTAGCATTGAATTTGAGGTGCCCCAAGTCAAACTGAGGAGTTCTAGCCTTGTGAAATTCATCAGTGATGACCCCAAATGGTTCCTGGGTGTGAAGTACTTAGGTGTTTAGAAATGAGTCTCTACTTTGGAAATGTATTTTGTTTAGATTTGTGTTTTAAGATTCACAGTTGGGTGGGAAAGTGCCCCAACCCCAGCTGAGTGCTCTTAATAAGGAAGTTTGGAAGTGTTAGTTTTGCAGAGTTAATTATTTCAGTCTAGGGCTGTGGAGGAGTGAGACATGATTGGTTAGAACTATGTTGCGTGACTCTGTACTTCTGTGGGGCTGATCCAACTCTATGTCCTTGTCGCCCAACGTTCTACCATTCCAGCAAGTCAGGGACATGTGTAGAGGTGTGGGGTTGCAAAGCAGATGAACCAGGACAAATATAAGCAAGGACCTAAATCACAGAGCAGATTATGTATAAGCAAGTCATTGTGATCAACTTTCCAAGGGGATTAAAATGACCCTCTTAATAAAAGATTTAACCCTTATTCCTCTTCCTAAGTTTCCCTCACTCTTAATAACAATGAATAGCATTTATATAGTGTTTTAAGGTTTGCAGAACACTTTACATGTATGTTATTTCATTTTGCTTTCCTATTGGACATCTCTATCTAATAACTTTGGAAAATGGTTAAAGTTGAACCTTGATTCTGCATTCCCAGAACACAGGGAAGACAAACCTTGTGATAGAGTGAGGGAGAAGTGTGCACATTTGTAGTTTATAAGACCCTAAAACTTATCCAGAATCTGTTCCCAGGAAGATGATTCATAGTTCTGTGGTTGCTTTATAAGTAGCACTTCATTAGCTTCCCTGCTGAGCTGACTTTGTAATCCTGACCTGCTGTGTCACCGTACACATTTTTGCATTTATTGTTAATGATTCATTATCTAGCTTGCTGTTGACTTCATTTTTTTCCCTCAACACTAACAAAAGAGAATTCTGCATCTATATATATATATATATATATATATATATATATATATATATATATATATATATATATATATATATATATATATATATATTATATATATATTCCAGCACATTGATGTGAATGTAATTTGGAGAGGAGAATGTGTATACATGTGGTTATTTGCATCTTGTTTATCTTACAGAGATAGTTATACCATGTTTTTCTTGCTTTGTTCCCAAAATGTGGGTTCTTATTCAATTCTGTCTTCTCTAACTGTTACAAGCTACCATGGAAATTTTGGGCCCACTGCATCCCAGTTCTCATTACGCAGAACTCTACCTTTTAGTATCTTGACCCATCCTTTATTTTCTATCCTTCATGCTCATTTTCCTTCATGTTGCAGTTATATTCTACCTCCCTGCCAATCCTCAGCCACTTCTAAATTTTCATCCTTCCTTGAAATTTATTTTTTTTAATGGAAGTGTCCAGGTGTATTATAAAAAAATCAAGACTTGATGGGAAATTAATCCTCTACAATTGAATTATTTTCACACCCATTAGAAACTCCACAGCCAGGCTGATAAAAGTGGTATGCCTTTATGTTAAGGATTATATCTTTCCATATAATTTTGTAGCTTGCTCCCCAAAGTAAGGAATGCTGTATCTCTCCATAGCTTCTACTTGCCCCTTCTAGTTTGAGTTCAGACTAATGAGATTTGCTTTGTGTGCATGGTCTTTTGATGGCTGGTTTCACCTTCCATGAAGGCTGATAGCTCAATTATTACCAAATGAAGGAGTAAAAAATGATGTCAAGCCACCTGAGTGCAAATCTGTTGCTTAGTCACATTTGCATAGCCACAGCTGACAAAGGTTCCCACAGTGATGACATCAGGGCTTTCATGTCAACTGGTGGTGTTTTTTCAGAACTGACATACAGAAAAAGCTATGCAATGTAGAGATTGCTTGTGTTGCATGTACTTCTATAGTTTTTTAAAACAGATTTTGTCAGATCAATGGTTTTTTTTGTGTTGACTTATAAAAATACACAAATGATTATTATATGTTACACTACAGAATAAAGAGATTTTATTTACCTTGTGGCTGATGGACTGGCTCTATTCATTTGAGGGATTCTAATAAGCGCCACATATCTTAATTGCTTATAAATAATGTAAGGTCAGAGATGCCCATGGCAAAAAGCATTCAGGTAACCCATTAGTGGTATGATGTTTTTCTAGGTTTGTAGATCCCTACTCAAAAACCTTAGAAGGCCCAAATAACCTGTCACCAGCTCCTCTTGCAAAAACCCATAACAGATGTAGAAAGAGAAACAATCAGAATTAGATATTATGCAAAAGGCAAAGGACAGTAACTCAAAGTCCCATAATGTCCCTCTGATAAACAACCTCCAATGTCTCATTTTCTAGAAAAGATTGGTGTCTAACAAAATTTTACTTACGCTCAGCCTTATGTTTTCATAATTGTTCTGTCAAAGGTTATAGCGCTGCTTACTCCAGGCTAAGCTAGCCTTCCTCCAACTCCCCTTATCATTGCCCCAAGTGATGGGTCCACTATGGATTCTACAGGTTCATCTTCTTGTAGAATGACACCTAGGTCCATTCATACCTTAGATCAGAGTGAGCCTCTTAGAATAATGTCTTTAAATGCATAAAGTAAAATACATAGGATTATAAATGAAACCAATTATATAAAAATATTAACAAAAAATTCATAAATTCTAGGTTAAGAGCCCTTGCCTTAGAGGAAGGCTTGAGAATTTCTCCTCAGTAAAACACTGGTTAACTCTTTCAGCAAAGTCTTTTTCTTTACACACAACTTCAGAAATAGGACTCCACCTAGTTGGGGGTGATGAGTGACATGACACTTCTGAATGTGTTGGCTATAACCTAAGCTCAGAGTCTCCTAGAGTAGAGTCCATTTGTTCTCAGAGAAACATCTGTATAGCTTAAGAAGTCATTGTCATAGATTCTATACTTGAGTGTCTGCCAACTAGCTGGAGAGCCCTCCAGTTTTCTGACAGTAAGTTTAGATGTCCTTTCCTCAAAGGAAAACTCCTTACTGGTCCTTGGGCACCTCAGTGGACAGAACACTCAACTTGGGAGTCAGAGGACTCAGTCTTGGCTCTGCCAATTTACTGCCTTTAGACAGATCACTTTATCTCCTTGACTATCAGAGTCTTCATGTGTAAATATATCATCTCTAAGGTCCTTTGTGCTCCAAATCCTATCAAAGGATAGAAAGTTGATGGGAACATTGACAATGGGCCCCAGGGCTTGTGTATTTTTGTTTCCTATCTGCCTCTAGATCTCTGTCTGTAGCTTGGTTTCCTATAGGTAGGGCAACATCCCTGCAGCATATCCCCCAGAGTTCCTTTTCCCGGTACCTTGAAGATACTCATCAGAGCTGGAGAGCCACACAAGAATGCCAATAGTGGATTTAGAGCTGGAAGGGGTCATGGCAACTATCTAATCCAACCCCCTCATTCTGTAGATGAGGAATTGAGCCCCAGAGAAGGTTAAGTCACTTGCCCAAGAACACACAAGTAGTATGTGAGCAGGGACAGGATTTGAACCTAGGTTCTCTGACTCTAAATCTAGCTAAAGCTCTTGGTTCTAGATCAGGGGTGGGGAACCTGCAACCTTGAAGCCACATGTGGCTCTCTAGGTCCTCAAGTATATGAATCCAAATTTCACTGAACAAATCCCTTTATAAAAGGATTCTGTGAAGTTTCAATTCAGTCAAAGGGCTGCACTTCAGGACCTAGAGGGCCACATGTGGCCTCAAGGCCATAGGTTCCCCACGCCTGTTCTAGAGCATGTGCTGAGGATCCTCCTCAAGGATATCTGGGTCCAGATAGATAGGCAACATCTGGAAATTGGGTGGAAGACTGGGGAAATGGAGAAGATTAGAGAAATCCTACAATATTAGTCAATAAGCGTCATCAAGTGCTTATTATATTCCAGGCTTTATACTAACTGCTTGAGATGCAAAAAGGCATTTAGCTGTTCCTGCCCCCAAGGAGTTCACATTCTAATGGGAGAAATAATCTCTAAACAACTATGAATATACAGTACCCATGGGAGATAATCTCAGAGCCAGGTCATTGGCAGTGGGGGAAATCAGAATCCAGGCATGAGGTAATGAGGGCTTGGACCAGGGTGGCAGCTATGTGAGTGGAGAAAAAGAAACATGTATGAGAGATGCTGTGAAATGATAAGACTTGGCAACACATTGGACATGAGATGGGGGGGGAGGTGACTGTAAGGATTGGAGGATGACATTGAAGTTTGGAGCCTGGATAACCAGGAAGGTGCTGATATTCAACACTAATGGAAAGTTGGGAAGGAGGAAGGGCTTGAGGGCATAGAAATTAGTTCTCTTTTGGATGTGCTGAGTTTGAGATACCTACAAGATACCCATTTGGAGATGTCCAAAAGGCAATTAGCAACTTGGTACTGGAGTTCAAGTGAGAAATTAGTGTTGCATTTATAGATCTGGGAATCTTTTGGGAAGGGATGATAATTGAATTCATGGAAGCTGATGAGATCAATAGTGAAATAGCATAGAGAAAGAAGAGAAGAGGGCCCAGAACAGAGTCTTGGGAGAACACTCATTACTTTACATGTCATTACATAAATGAAGAACCAGCAAAAGAATCTGAGAAGGAGCAGTCAGACGGGTAGGAGAAGAACAAGGAAAGACCAGTGTTACGAGAACCTGTAGAAAATAGAATATCCAACAGAAGAGAGTACTTGATAGCGAGCGTCAGAAGCTACTGAAGGGTCAAAAAGGACAAGAATTAAGAAAAGACCATTAGATTTGACAATTAAGACATCATTAGTAATTGGAGAGTACAATAGTTTCAGATGAATGACAAGCTTGTAATACAGACTAGAAGTGAGTGAGGAGAATAAGAACCATCTAGTATTGAAGGCTTTCTTACATAGTTTAATGAAGAAAAGAAGGAATATAGGATGATAGCTAGAGGTAGTGAATGGGTTGAGCAAGGCTTTTGGAGGATGGGGGTGATGTGGGTATATTCATAGATAGCAGGAAAGGATCCAGCAAATAGGGAAAGAATGAAGATTAGAGAGAATGGGAATTATACATTCTGCTGGAGAAGATGGAATCAAGGGGACAAGTAGAAAGGTTTGCCTTGGCAAGGAGAAGGGCCAGCTCTTTGTGTGAATCAGAAGTGAAGGAAAAAATAGTGTGTGAAGGAAGAAACAGCGTGAGAGGGAGGGACGACTGATATCTGAGTAATGTGAATTGCAGAGGAGGGGAGAAAAGGGAGCTATCTGTGAATGAACTCAATTCTTTTAGTGAATTTTGAGTTCCTCAGCTAAGAGGATGGGAGAAGGGGTAGGCTTCAGGAAAGCTGAGAAAGTTTAGAATAATTGCTGTATTGAGTGGGACAGCAAATCGATTAGGAAGTGAAAAAGGAAAAGTATTTTTCTTACAACAACTTGGTTAGTAGAAGTTATCACATTTGTATGCCATAATTTGTGCAGCAGTTCCCTAAGTGACGGCCAAACATTTTGTCTCTTTCCTTTTATTATGATGTATAGAATTTCTATAAACATTTTTGCCCACATGGGTCTTTTTCTGTAGCAAATAACCTCCTTGGGATATTGTTCCAGTAATGAAAATTCTGGGTCAAAGGAGCAAGCAATTCAGCAACTTTTCCTGCATAATTCCAGATCTTTTTTTCTGAATAGTGAACCAATTCACAGTTCCACCAGATGTGAGTTAGTGTGATTAACTTCTCACAGCCCCCTTTTCATTGAGTCATCACTGGGACAATTATTGAATAAGAATATTAAAGAGTATGCCTATTTTCTACATTCTACACTCTCTGTGTACAAAGCATAAAAAAACTAAAAGACCATGACACAACAAATATTAAAATTAATAAGGAACACATGATCAAAGAATATCTAAGTGAAACTAAATGTTATCCTAAGTCTTAAATAATTCCAAAGAACAAATTATAGAAATAATAT